GGTGGAAAAATATCCTTAACAGATCGTTGGGCTTATTTAAAACAAGTTCTTCTCTATTATCGTCTATCAACACTCGAACAATTAACACGTATTAAACCTGAACGTGCAATGGCACATGATCATATGATGATTATGATTGAATTGTTAATACAATTAACAACATGTTTACTTAAAAGTCAACAAGAACAAGAACGTATAGCAACAAATAATTTCCTATGTGAATTTAAAGTATTAATGCGTCAAATGTTTTGGATTGGAAGACATGATCCATCAGTTATGGAAGAATCTTTGTATGAATTACGACGTCATGTTTATGCAAAAGATAATCTTGAAATAGTCGATCGATTAAAACATGAAAAACAAATGAATGAGATGACTATTGAACGTGATCAATTAAAAGAACAAGTAATTGAGATTATTTATTTTCTTTTTAAACTTTTTTGTTTAAGTTTGAAGAATTAAAAGCAATTCGTAATGAACTTGAAAATGAATGTACAATATTAACAACATCAAATGAAAATGATATGATTGAATATACTAAAAAACAAGAAGAAATATCTGATGAACAATCCAAATTAATTGAATTAACACAAATTGTTGAACAAAAAGGTAAAATAAAAAAATATTCGGTTTTTTGGAATTTTGTTTTTATTTATTTAAGAAATGGATAAAAAACATTTAACTGATCGTAATCAAATATTATCCGATAAACTTTTTGCTCAACAAACAGATGTCGAATTACAGCGTCATGTACGTTCAAATAGTGAACTTAAACAACAACATGAAGTTCTTCTTTCAACATTACTTCTTGAACAACAATTACATACAACAACAGCTAATCAACATAAACAACTTGTTAAAGAAGTATGAAGTTCTCACTTATTCTTTCTCGTAGAGAAGTGTTATGCATCCGCAGTTCACTGATCTACAACAAAAGATTTTTTCTGAATTTAATCCGTAGTTGTCAGTAGAGATCCGATAAATTCTAATTAGAAAAAACAACCATTGCTAATCTGATTCGTATGCAATCAACGTTCAGATTACATGCGAAATACGTAGTATATAATAGTAGAGATGGGCATCTCCGGGGGTAAGCAACTCCAACTCAAACTGTGATGTTTGCGATGTCAGCTCTAACTCCACTCCAACCCCAGACAATAAGGCGTCAATTCCGAAGTAAACTCCAACTCCAGAGTTGAAGCTTCCCATCTCTGATTATTATAGCCATGTTTTAAGAAGTTTTGAACTGAGTTCGAAATTGATATAAGAGGAAAATAAATGCGAAAACTTCGAATTTTATCCGAGAGTTATGTGCACTGCAAAAAGTGTATATGGAAATCATAGAGAAATATCAGTATTTTTGCAATAACTCGGGAATAGCCCGGCCAATTAGGCTCATCTTCGAACTCGACCGAGATCTTGATGAGATTAAACTGTGCACAAAATTTCATAACAATCGGCCTTAGCCTTTCAGGAGTTATCGTGTAAACGGTCGGACACACTGACCGATTCTAATAGTGTACTTACTTTTTGAGTACACAAAAACTATTTACTAATGTATACCTTTGATTTTCAGCTTCAAGATTTACTTGGTAAATATCAAGTTTTACTTAGTGCATATAAACATAAAGCACATCGACCACCTCCATCAGCTGTTGATTTTGATCTCAGTGATATAATTGGTGATACAGCATCAAATATAAATAATGATTCTGTTCAACAAGCACAAATAGCAATTGAAAATTTAGCAAAAGAAATAACTGCACAAGAAATTTTACTTACACAACGTCATCGTGATCTTGAACAAGAATCAAAACAAGTAATGTTTTATTTTTTATCAAATAAAAAACAATATTGTTTTTTGTTTTTATTTAGAAAATAGAAGAATTACAAAGTGCTGAACGTGAATGGAAATCAGCTGCAAAGCATGGTCAACGTCGAGCAGCACAACAGAATGAATTAAGTCGTTTTCAACAAGAAATTCGTTTAATTTCGACGAAAATTATCGATCTTGAACGACGTATCGAAGAAAAAAAAACATTAACAATTGAATTAAAAAAAGAATTTGATCAAGTAAAATTTTTCTTTTATTAAAAATCAAATTGATTTTATATTTTATTTAGATTAAATCTGGTATTATCGAATTATTATCTCGTTTTGAAACATTAGAAACCAATTATATTAATAAAGAAGATGAACTTCGTTGTCAGTTAGCATGGTTTATATCCGATCAAACACAATTAGCTAAAATCTATCGACGTGATGTTGATGATTTAAAACGTATGCAACAAGAACATATGTCAAAATTAGATATGAATTCAAATATAAAATCATTTGAAGATCTTATTCAACAACAAATTAATAAATATTATAATTATAGAAGTATTGATGATGATGACGAAGAAGAAGATGAGGATAACAAGAATGATGAAAAAATAATAAATGAATCAGATAAATTACATGAAGAACATGTATTATGGTTAAAAAAGAAGAAAAAAGATGCAAAAATAATGGTACCAATTACAGAACGACTTCGTATGTTTTTTGAAAAAAAAAATTGAATTATTTTTAAAATAAATTTTTTCCATTTCAGAGGAACTCTACGATCATTTGCAAATACTTGATATCAAATAAACAAATTATTGTAGTTTATTTTTGTATATTGTTTAGAATTATGTCAGATATAATGAAATTAGTTGTTATGTTTAAAAAATATTGTAAAGCATCGAGTTTGTTAAATAATAATAATTGTTATTAGTTCTAGATTATTCTTAAAAGAAAATTCTCTGTATAATTAAAAAAAACAGGTATATCTTTTATTCATTTATATATTTTTCTATCTCATAATTTATTAGAATTTCAGTTTACAATGGATGAATCTGATGAAGATATTGATCCACTTGTTGGTCCTGTAGCTGATCTTATGGCTGAACATAATTTATCCTCAATAACAACAACAACAACCAATATAACAAAACCAATAGAATCTGTTAAAATTCTCGATCAAAAACAAAATTTTCTCGGTTATTTATCATATTTAAATCTTCGATCATTGTTTCAAGAAATTTTTAATTATTTTCTCGATATTCTATGGTATCATTATCTACATAAAACTTTTCCAAAAATCGATCAAGAAATTCTTTACAATTATCCATCACTAAAAAAACTATCTTTTCTTCTTATCGTAAGTAAATTCATTCTTTCTTTCAATAACAATTTTTGTTTTCTTATCGTTAGATCTATACAATCCTAACAATATCATTTCCATTAATATTTCATATTTTTATTCTATTTCTATTTATTATTGATTTTCTTCTTCCATTATACATCTATTATACATGGTTTAATTGTTTAAAAATTCTTCGTCTATTTTTACATACTATTCAAATCCACCAACAATGGTTAATACATATTCATGGTTATCAATTAATTCGTCCAACATCATCTTTATTCGAAAATCAATTATATCAACTTCGTCGTAAAATCTTTGAAGAATTACAAAAACATTTTTTATATTCACGACAAATAGCTCAACAATATTCAAATCAAACCGAACAATTTATATGTTATATTAATCTCGAAGAATTTGGACCATTAATAAAATTAAATTCCATTGAACTCGATCAGTTAACAAATCAATATGATCAAATATCAATAAATTCAATATTAAAACTATGTCATTTACAGATTAATGAATGTATACAATTGATAAATCTAAATCGCCCGAAATCTTATTGGATATTTAATAATTATAAAAATATTCTATTAGAATCGATAAAAATTCTAAATAAAACTAAACAAAATTGTTCAATCATGATTGATTATACGGATGATTTAGAAAAGAATTTATTATCAAAAAAATTTCTTTCATCATATTTTCTTCTTCGATCAAATTGTGAACAATTATTTAATATAAATGAAAATAATAGTGAACAATTAAAACGTATTATACAAGATCTTAAAACAGTGATTTGTACACTTGAAGCAATGCAATTAAAACCAATACATAAATTAGATGAAAAAATGAACGAAGAAATTTTATTTAAAGAAAATAATTTATCAAATATAACGAGTTATCATCGGTTTGATGATCGAATAGAAGAATTAGAAGATGAAATTCTTGTATGTGATACGGGAAAATCTGATGAGAATGAAATCAATAAGAATTTCTTAGATATTGATGATTATGATAAGAGACTATTGCGTGAACAAACAAATTGTCTTATGAAAGAACTTCAAACAGCTATTCAAGGAAAAAAACAAGAATGGAATGAACGTGAACAACGTTTATTAGGTCATTTAGAAAATGATGATAAAGAAGAAGAAGAAGAGATTGAACAAGATGATAAAAAACAAATTATTGATGAACAACAAACATTTGAAAAATTATCTTCAACAACAAGTACAATATCAATGTTAGATGAGCTTAAGCATACATTTGTATTGAATAGAAATAAACTAAATATTGATGAAGATATATTCGGAGAGGATGAAATAGAGAATTTCGGTGATGATGATGATGATGATGATGACGAATAAAACTGGTTTGTTTTATTACAGAAAGAATAGATTGTTATGATCAATTGGTATTGGGATTTATTATTTATTTGGTAGATAAAACCAATAAGACGTATGTATAGAGAAAGAGTATTTTCAGGCGTGATGGAGGTATGAATCTTCAATATAATGGTCTTTCATATTATTTTTGAAAATTATTTCTTTTGCTTTTGTTATAAAAATCTTTTTTCTTGTAGATAAAAAGTAATAATTAGCTTTTCTTCGTAGAAATCCAAAAAGTCATGTTTGAAATAAACGATCTATTCGATACATTTATATTTCGTACAACAACCTTAACTGGTTTTCTATTTTATTGGTTACCAATCATATGTATTCTTTCACCGACTTATTTAAGTCCATTTACATTTGTTGATTCAACACAAGAATTTAAAGCATATCGAATGGCACAATATGATTTATATGGTCAAGCATACGGTAGTCGTCAAGCATTTATTTCAAGTGAAGTTCGTTTATGGTCACATACAAATCTTAATCGAAAAGCTGCATTAATACGTTTAGAAAAATTAACTATTGAACGTTTTCGTTCACTTATATCGAAAGGTATCAATAGTTTATTTGTTGTTATTCCACCAACAACTATACCATGGACAGCTGAACAAAAAACAGATATATGTGATTTAGAAACAATATTACTTGGTGAAAGTGTTCCAATACCAGTTTATTTTCTTCCTGAAACTCAACAAACAAATGAGTTATATAAATCAATTGAATCACGACGTGATTCAACAAAAGATTCAGCATTAGCTGTTCTTTATGATATGGTTACAGCTGATGGTTATCAATTATCAGTTACAACAGGCAAACATAATCAAAGAACAGATAGTGTTTTATATAATATAAATGGAAAATTAGTTGGTCATGGAATTGAAGAACGTTTACCAAAAATACTTTTTGTCGCACATTATGATTCAATTGGTTTAGCAAATGGTTTAGCACAAGGTGCAGATTCTAATGCAAGTGGTGTTTTAATTTTATTAAAATTAATTCGTTTATTTTCAAAATTATATTCTAAACAAACAACAAGAGCTAAATATAATTTACACTTTTTATTTGCTGCTGGTGGTAAATTAAATTATCAAGGAAGTAAAAAATGGATTGATGATTATCATGATCAAAAACAACAACAACAACTTCCAAATGATGTTGACGTTGTTGTTTGTCTTGGTAAGTTATTTTTAAAAACAAAAAAAACAAGCAAAGATATTTTTAATTAAAATTGATTATTTTAGATTCATTGGGACAATCAAATCAACTCTATATGCATGTTTCAAAACCACCAAAAGATACACAAACAGTAAGATTATTAACCCTTTAACGGGTGACTTTTGGATGAGCAAGTTTTGTCAGTTTTTTTCGCATAGAATTATAACTTTATGTAGATTGTTAGGGTATAGGTGTGGATATGGATAGGTGCGGCTGTGGCTATGGCTCTGGGTTTTGCCATTGTATCTACACCCACACTCACACCCTCATAGATATAT